TGGTGTGGGGGTGCTGGTGTGGGGGTGGAGTAAGGGAAGTTGTGAGGCTCTTTTCCACCTCCCCACAGCCGGTCTCTACAGCTGCCCCCTGCGGCCTATGCAGAAAGCCCTCGGGAGCGTGAGTGGGGCACACACACCTGCAGTTCCAGACACCTGGGCCCAGAAAACACACCGGCGAGGCCATGCGGCTGAGACGGCCGCGCGAGGCCCAAGAAGCGCGGATTTGTGGGGCCCAGCCATGCTGCCCTGCTCTGGGCCTCCCTGCCCGGCAGCCTGGTTCATCGTTAAAGGCCAGTAAAAACCCACTGAGGACCCGGGGTGCTCCTTCCCGTCTGCCGAGTCCACAGTGACCCCGCCCAGCCGGCAGGCTGCGCTGCACGTGTCTGCGTGTGCTCTGAGCTGAATCCCACAGAACCTTCCCCACCAGCGGTCTCCAAGCTCCTCCAGGCCACAGCCCCGGGGAGGGCAGGGGGCCTGCCCGAGTATGACTACGTGGAACTCCGAGGCCCAGGGACCCCAGGGCCATGAATCTGCATCGCCTACAGGGGTGTCAAGACGATTCCTGGGCCCCTTCCCCCTTTGCCCCCCCCCCGCCCCAGTCTGAAAGTTTCTGGATTTTGCTCTTCCCCACAGTGTCCTGGAGACGTGAATGCAGGACACCGTGCACTTCAGCTTAGCACCCCCAAACTAGGTCCTCATGCCACATTCCTCGGGGTGGCTGGAAGGTCCACCCTCAGAGGACTCGGAGAAGGTATAAATGGAGCCTTGGCTTTTTCTGCCCACAGAGTCGATCACTGGGAGTCTGCAGCTGGCGGGGTGGGGAGAGGCGCAGGTGAGGGCCACGCTCCTTGCCGCCGCCGCTGCCCCCGGCCTGGCCTCTGCCCGTGGCGATGACGAGGTTAACAGCCGCGGCGGCTGTTCCATGGCCTGGGAAGAAGGTTCCAGAGGGGTGGGGACGTTCTCTTTAAAGGAAAAGAAAGAGGAAAGAGATAGGAAGACCCCCAGAAGGACGCCGTCCGAGGCCAGGCCCCAATTTCTCCGAGGACACAGGTGGCACCGTGGGGTCCCCGGCCAGCAGCTGAGTCCCGAGAAGCCCTGGGGGGGGCAGCGGGAGCTGGCCGGGACGTCACTTGTTGGTGCTCAAGCCCAATCCTAGCTCGTGATTTCCTCCCCGGTTGCCATGGCCCCGTACAGAAAACACAGCAAACTCCTGGCCCCGGCAGCTCATTTATTTCAAATATTCCTTGCAGCTGGGCCCCAAACATGTTTGGGTGTCTGGACCGGAGCATGAACTAATTGCTCTGTCTTCGGCCCCCTCCCCAGCTCCCCGGCATGCTTTATGGTTCAGTAAAGTCCACATTCCTCATCTCACCACCAAGGCGTGGGAGGAAGGGAGGGCGGGGGCGGGGCCTGGCAGCGGAGGGGCCCCTCAGGGGCCAAGCCCGCACCCTGCTCCCTGCTCCAGGCAGCTCTCAGTGACCACCCCGCGGGCAGCCTGCAGGATGGGCTGGCACGGAAGCCCGCTCCCCCAGAAGTCTCCCGGTAGCACAAGGCCGTTATTTCCCCGCGCCACCCCCACCCCACCTCCTGACCCCGCTCCTCCCCGCACCACCCCCTTCCAAGGAAGCTGAGTTCCAGCTCAGCCCAGACGCGCACTCCGACCTAAAAATAATCTCAGACCGCCCCCTGGCCCAGCGGCGTCTGGGAAGGCATCTGGGGTCCCTTTCTTCAATGCCCACCTTGGTCTTGGCGATGTCCCTGGCAAGGACAGTCACCAGCAAGCTGCTTCAGCAG